AGGGCCAAGCAGGAATCTCTCCCCAGCCACCATCCATAACCCGGCTCTGTGGGTTTTGGTCACACCTCTCCCACCTCCTTGGCTCTGCTGCTTCCCAAGGTGGAGGAAGCCCATGCCAGGGGATGGAGTGTGAGGTGGCTTTGGGCACCAAACCACCTAGAAGCTCGGTGAAGACCAAAGGGACCAAGCCACCCTCTGCAGAACCCTTCAACATCACTTGCACCGACAGCCCTGGGGAGAAAGGGAGACAGGGCAGGGGCTTGGACGGCCCCTCCTGGCTCCTCTATTGCTTAATTACCCTAATGCCCACATCCTGCTGAGGGCAGTGCCAGCCCCCCCAGCAGCCAGGCAGGGAAGGGGGCTGCAGAAAAGCTCAGCTATTTGCAGCTCTGCTCCACAGAGCCTGGTGTGGGGAGCCAGGAAGCCAAGGAGGAAAAAAAAACCCCAAACAATTTGTAATTACACGCTGGGAAAATGGAACAGCAGGAAGCAGACAGTTAACATCATTCTGCACGAGACAAACAGGAGATGTACAGAAATACAGATCTAATTTTGAGAGGTCACTCAGAGCGCTTTTAAAGGCGCTTAATTGTATTTCTAACGGCCCAGGAGGCAGCTGCCTGCATTCCCTGCACCAGCACAGCCCTCACCTTGGCTCCTGTGCTCAGGCACCTGCAGGAGAGCCAAGAGCTGCCCCCCAAGCTTGCCAGCCCCCCCAGCACTCGGGGTGCAGCCCCAGCTGCTCCCCCCGCTCCCCACTGGCACCGGGCGTGGGGCTGAGCAGAGCCCGGGCTCCTGGCTGGGAGAGGGGCAGGACAGGCCTCACCCACAGCAGGATTGGGGACATTTAGGAAATGCTCCTGGTGGCAGGCAGCAGTGGCACAACCAGGAGCTGAGGGTCAGATGCCATGCAGGGGGTGGGGAGGGCCACGGCCGCTGTGGGAGGGATGTGGTGATGCCCAAACCATGGTGAAGTAACCCACGGACCCAGCACCACCCACACACCCCATCCTGCCCCTGGCACGACCCACCCTGCCCCTGGCACAACACATCCTGCCCCTGGAATGACCCGTCCTGCCCCTGGAATGACCCGTCCTGCCCCTGGAATGACCCGTCCTGCTCCCAGCATGGTGCTGGGCTGGGAGAGCACCGCTTGGTCCTGGTGAAGGCAGCGGTTCCACCAGTTTCCCACCAGTTTCTCACCAGTTTCCCACCAGTTTCTCCTCGTTAGGCAGGAGCTGACAGTTCCCACAGCCCGTGGCTTTCCCTCCCACCCCCTCCTCTGCTCCTCAGCCACAGTCAGCAGTGAAACCACTGGTGGGTGACATCCTGGTGTGACAGAAGTTGCTCCAGTCACAGAACTCCACACTGAGCATATCTGGGGGGGGTGGTAACACCACCCAGGCCTCTAACCTAGCTCTGGATTCCAGGGCAGCCTGTGGCTGCAATGAGGTTTATGTTTTTTCTTCTTCTCATTGCACCAGGGAGGCTGGGATGGGAAAATCCCAGTTTCCCATCCTGTTTCTCTCAGGTTCAGCAAGGGTCAACTGCCCCCATCCCACCCCAGCTGAGGGTACCAGCCACACTGTCCCCTCCCAGCAGCTTCCACGCTGAAGTAATCCAGAGCAAAACCAGAGTTAACCCTTTGCAGAGGGGAGATGGCAGCAGAGAGACACCCTGCTGGAAAGCCCTGGCAGCTGCTCTTGGATCAGCTTTTCCATCTCTGTTATCCTCTGTTCCCTTTCCAAGGGAGAGCTCCCTGGAGATGGGAGGAGCTGCACTACCTGCTCGCTCTGGGCTCCAGCCCTGGGGCAGCAGCTGAGCCCAGGCAGCACAGCCTGGACACCAGACCCCCGGGTGACACGAGTGTCCCTGGGACAGGGGGCAGGGGCAGTGCTGTGGAGGGGCCCCAGCCACCACCTTGGAGCAGACCTGGGTTTTGTGCAGGGAGAAGCTGTGCACGTTTCCCTGTACCATGGTTGGGTGCTGTAGGTGTCAGCTTTGCAGCCAGTGCAGGTCTCCAAACCTCCTCTCCCCACCAGAGAGCATCTCCACGTCCTGGTGCCCCTCTGACAGTGGGCAACCCGGTGAGC